ACATAGTTGTATGCACGATCGACATTCTCCGAAGCTCCCTTGTTCCAAGACGTCCAGGAAGTCCAGTCACTATCCTTATCATAAGGGTAGTCCAGTTTAGGGTCGTAGTAGAAAAGTGACTTGCGCACTCCGTAGTCTGTCCCTTGAAGTCCACCCCAAATCGTGGTTTGAACGAACTCGTCCAACTTGGCTATCTCTTCAGCGTTTGGCTGAACCACCTGCTTGAGCATGGCTGCGACATAAGCACCGGTGCCGCCTTCATCACTGAGGCCTGCAATCCAGACCCGTGGATCCTGCTGGACGATTGCGCGCTTCTCGTAGTCGTAGGTCATGACCGATGGAAATCTCTTGAAAGGATCCGATGAAACATTGAACCAAGATTTGGTAGTCAAAAAGCTCCCAAGGTCATTGAGGGTCTCTGATGTTGGCTTGGTAATGAAATAGTGGACAGTCTGCACCTTGCCATCATTGTACTTGATGCTAACACGAACTCGTCCCCAAGCAGATGATGAGGATTTAAGCTCGTACCCCTCTCTGGAATCCCTCCCAGCTCTCTCGATTGCAAGTGCTCCTTTCGGTGAGACATCCATTGAAGCAACTCCACTATCGCTCAGAGGAAAGAGTAAGGCAGGGAGGTCTCGCGGAATAGTGTATCCAGGAACACCAACTACAACAGGGGTTCCAGTATTTTTGATGGCGTTGTCAAAGTCGCGAATAGATTCGGATAGAGAGAACCGGACACCAACCTTGAGCGACTCGCCGGGCTTCAACATCTTGGAAGTTGGTTCGTTCCAAGGTTCTTGGTTCTTCCATTCATTCTCTGCCCACGCCTTAGTGAGGACCTGCCACTCATAGAACCCTTCGAAGGTCTGGCTTGCATAACCAGTTGACTCGAACCAAGGTTCTTTTAGATCCCGATAAGCCTCCAGTGGTGTATCGGTTCCGTTCAACGGCGTGACGACAAGACCATTGCCAGTGCCTTTGACTGGTGTGACACGAATGTGGCCAGCATCCAGGCCAATATAGGGATCTGCGAGAGAGCAGTGGGCTTGCATCTCCTTGGCTGTCCTGTTGGTGAAGATACTGTTGACCTCAGCTGGGAACCCCAGGCTGCCAAGCTCAACAGTGTCATTCCCATTATTAGTGATGGTGAAGCGTAGACCCAGGTCACCTTCGAAATCGAGCCATTCCCGGGTGATGTTGAGAGGGCTATTAGGTAGTGTCGGGCCAAGATCTGAGGTCGCAAGAGCAATTCCCGAGCTGATGTTCTTCACAGGCTGCCGCTCTTGAGCAGAATCACCATTCGTCCATGCTGAGGCGCCTTGTTTGCGATATCTGTACGTGATATCGCCCCAGTGGTACTGCCCATTCTGGGCGCGAACATCAATTTGATCAAATGGTAAAAAGTCAAAAGTATCGTCTCCTGGGATCAATGATACCAGGACTTGTGCGTCGCGAACGATGCGGGCTTTGAAGTTGTTGGTCTCGATGTCGATGTAGCCATTGTCGAGTCCAAGGTTGTCTTTTTGGGCCAGGGCCAACGGTACTGCGAAGGCGAGACCTGTGCAAAGCTGTTTAAGGAAGGGCATTGTGGCTGGCAAAACCTGATGGGGAGGGGTGCATTTCCTCTGGTCGCGACCGTCAGTTCTTATGGGTTCTTATAGAGCAGTGCGATCAATTACAAAGTTTTGTACTTAAGCCATCATACTAAAGCCACACCGGACCATTTCCGTGTCCTCGTCATGCATATTAACGGTCCAGGTTCAACGTGATGCGCATCAATCAGTTGCATAGTTATCCCGGATCATTATGATCATGCTCGACTTGCGCGTATTGGATGAGGCAGTCTAGGATGTTGATCATTTCAATGGTCTATCTTGATTGGCACGCCTGTAGCTATACGAGCCAAGATCATCGTAACTGAACCTGGCAACCCCGAGTCCATCACACTCCATGTTTGAGAAATATCACCTTCCGTAAACAGCTCCATACATAGAACTGATCGTTGGTACTTGAGAAGATGGGATGGGATTAAACTAAGAACTTGTTGAGAAGGGGGGGCTTCCAGCCATGGGTGGGATAGAATCAGTATAAGTAATAGGTAGGTAGTATATAAAGGCCTGAAATCCTAAATAAAAGTTATATTAGTGATCACTCGTCTGTTAAAAAGATTACAAGCCGTCACTATGTCTATAAGCAAGCCATGTGAAAAAAAGAGAGACATTAGAATTTAAGTAGAAACAGCAAAAAGCATGCGGTTTATGTGGATCGAACACATGACCTTCAGATATCGAATGATGATTGAAGTTTAACTTCAGTCTGACGCTCTCCCAACTGAGCTAAACCCGCTTGTTAAAAGCAAGGTGTTTACTACCCTACATGTTTGCCACCGCCGCATATCATCACGAGAGATTGATTGGGGTCGCAATGGCATGCACATAAAGGTGAAAATATGTCATTAAATATAAATTCTCTCCTTTAAATTGCTATGGCAAATGCTATGGGAGTTCATGCGGCGAGCTCTTGGGAGTGGTCGTAACACGAGGCCTGACCCAAGCATCATCAGGCGCTTCATTGATAGGATTGGAGTCAGCCTGTAAAATGGGATTTGAATCCGCATGGAAAACCGGATTGGAATCGGCATGTAAGATCGGGTTCGAGTCAGCATGCAAGATTGGGTTAGAATCTGCCTCCGTCGAAGCATTCCCTGCCCTTCTCATTGCCTCTCCCCGAAGACCATGCCCTGGTCTTCTAGCTCCTGGCATGTTATCGTTCTCAGGATATGGCTGCTGAAGGAGTGTCACATCAGCGGGCTGTGGCATTCCATCCTCTTCAGGGTACGCCAGTGGAGGACGAGTACCATTTACAGCCCGCGAGTCAACTTCTGTGTACCTGTTACCCTCTGTCCCCTCAGCTTCCGCAACACCGATCTGAGGCAAGACTTCAACCGTGGCATTGCCTTTGCCGCTTGAAGCATCGTCCTTCTTCTCGGGAGTCACTGCAGTCGCGTGCGGAGTAGAAGGTCTATCACGCCGCTTGTAAACGCAGAAGACTCCAAGGAACAAGAACCCGATGAACGAAACACCGCCGACGGTGCCTCCAACAATCGCAGGCGTAGAGGACTTTTTGACCGAGCTATCCCCTTGATTTGCTGTTGAGGTCGGAGTCTGTACGATGGTCGTGCGAATTACGCTTTGGAAAGTACTCGTCGCATCGCTCGTCTTGGTGCTGGACTTGGGATCGGGTGCTTTGAGGGTATAGATTTCAGCGCCGCTGTCGCAACAATCGCTTCCGTCTGCTGGAGGACAGCAGTATTTATTCTTCCCGCACGTCTGCAATGGAAACCAAGTACCTGAATCCGCTATCTAATGTCAGCTGCATTTTCTGTTTGGCGGTTTGGAGGTGACTTACTGTCCATGCAAACCTCTGGGCAATTGGACCAGTCTTTGTTCTGACAAGCAGCGCGGTAGTCGTATTTTCCTGGCTGGTTGCACAAGCCGTTTGCCAAACACTTGTCGCCCTCGCCAAAGTAGCAGCATGTTGAGTACGTCGTGGTTGAGTTGCCGCATGGTTCGTACTTGTAGTCTTTTGCTGCGTTGATACCGTTGGGGTAATAGCACGTCGCCGACACTCGGCTGCCTAAGAGCGCACCTAGTAACGCAAATTTGCGCATTTTACTTGCCTTTTGGTGCTTCTAACGTTACCTACTTCGAAGACTTGAGAGAATCACAGTTTGTGCAACAACAAATTTGGGGAAAGGGGCAAACAATGGCTCTTAAAGCGCCTTTTGATCCCAAATGTTTTCAGCCCTGGGAGGGCTGAGGTCTTGTGGCTTGGATAGCGTGAAACTATCGCGATTGAACCCTGCAGTGACCGATTAGCCAAGACACGACGTTGGTCTAGATTGTCGAGGTTGCATCTGATTTGACGCCTTAGCGAAGATCAAAGAACCAAGCATTCCCAATATTGGCGGTAAACCATAAACAGATAGCGTGGGCTGAAGTCGACCCTTCGTTCTAAACCGCAATGGAACTCATGATCTTCGACTGAGCGAGTCACCATTGCACCAATTATCGGTCACTTGCTTCCGCTCCCTAGAAATAAATATTTATCTACACAGCGCCGTTTCGGCCAGAATACAAGATTGGCGGAGCCAGCCAGGTCTTGTGTCTGGTTACCGCTGATCGAACGCGAGCAATATTCTCTGTAGCCTGCGACTGGTTCTTAAGAAAATGGAGTTCAGTCAGGCGAAATCGGGAGAAAAGCTTTGCTGAAAAGCTGTAATGTCCCAAGATGCGGTAAAAAGTACTGATGCTGGTTGATGCTAGAGTTATTGCAAGAAACCGGGAGATTAAAGGACGAGGTAGGCTCCTTGATGAGATTTACTTACAATCAAGAGAGAACCTTTTGACACAGCAGACTTAACAAGAAGAAATGATCTATGGAATATAGGCTGTTTTCCCTAAGCTTCCGGTCAAAAGAAAAGCACATAGTTGAATAGCATGTTGAGGTCAGGCTTATCTATCGAGGCCCAGTGTCATCATGAGCTATGGGCTAATTTGTAGACACCTGGGACTAGAAGCAGCTAAGAATAACATCGAAAAGTTAAGAAGCCCATTTGTGCCGTCTGTCACTTTATAGTGTGTATCAAGCAGCAATATGCTTTCACAGAACAAAGTCATATTTTAAAAAATGGAAGTGTTCTGTTATACTCTAAGCTTTATCTACCTCGAGCTCATTTGGGCCAAAGATGAGATGACTTGTGGTTTTTGCCTTTGATTAGATATCACAAACTTTCGTCATGGCACAAACTGGCACACATTCACACTAAAACCTTGCAAACTTAGAAGCAAAGCTAAAGGTAAATGATATTTAAGTATGTTACGCCCTTGTATTTCTATTCTATTTTCTTCACTCTTTCAACTTTTCCACTTTCTCGTATTCTCTCAGTCTCCACGCGGATACCGTTACACCTCGATATTTCTGTCAATCCATCTATCATGGCCAGCTTCAGGCGTTTTGCCGATCTGCCCAAAGAGATACGGGACATGATATGGAGCGATGCTAGTCAACGTGGCCTTGCAGGCGTCCAGATCTTTGAACTTCGGACTCCCAAGCCGAAAGAAGATGACGAATCTTCCGACACAACGGCCTCGGGTAGTCGACCGCCCAAGCACCAACTCAATGCGCCATTGCGGAGCAAATGCTTCCCTGCTCTTGATGGTAGCCCAGGCACTTCGAATGTGTCTAGATACATGGCTGACATCGGATTATGGACTGCCTGTAAAGAATCACGGGAAGTCATGGAGAAGACTACACAGAGATCTAAGAAAATCCTTGAAATGCAAGCAAAAGAAAAATATCGGTACTACCACTGGGAGGAACATGTGCTCGCGATTATCTCTTGCAGCACTTCACAGCGATTTCTGGTCCAGCCCCACGCAGATCTCTTTGTGATTCAGCCTAGCAAGATCGAGGACATCGGCTGGTGGCAGGTCGCTTGTGACATCCGAAAGCAGTTTGAACCCAGAGATTTTGCTTTCGAAATCAACATTGGGATCGAATGGAAAGTCGAGTGGGGAATCAAACAGGAAGATGGTGACTTCAATCTGTTGTGCGAGGCCTTTCGCGATATCCATGCCCAGTTATGGATAATCGACACTAATCTCAAAAGAAAAGAAGACATGAACAATAACACGAATGACCGCTGCAGCAAAGTCTTTTATGCTTGCGACAGAAAGTTCTTAGAGGTCGATTTCGAATATAAACCTTTTGGAACGCTGGCGACATATCATACCACCACCTGAAGAAACAAGATTTGGCAGGTATGAGTATTCAACTAGTCTGGCGAAGGGCCTTCGCTCTATACAAGATGATTCGCATTCGCGGTATATCAGGCGGGGGCAGTATGGGGAAGAAGATGATGAGCGATTTAGCTGCAACGTTAAACTTCTAGGCTGGGATGACCTATGAGGCTGGAGAGGAGGATGTTGCAAGAACTTGCAATATAGATTTCTGTTATGCTTCGGCTGTTGTGTAGGGTTATACAGAAATGAGAGGATTAAAAATATAATTCTTCGAGGCCACATACCATTACTTCCTAAGAAAGGAGGGCTGGGTCACTCCCTCGTTCCTAAGAACTCCCATTGTCAACTGTCTGGGCTAGTATAGTCACACTATTGCGGATTGGGATTGATCACCTTAAGTAAGCCTATTGTTCCGTTGGAGCAAGTACCTGTCGCCGGCCGTTTTGCAGTATTAGCCCCTTACCACAAGTTCTCGATAGCAGCCCTTCGTCACCAGGTGATTATCGGTGACGATGCAGCTATGATGGAAATTTGTTTACCTCTGCCCACTTAGAATGCCGTTGAGAGTGTTACGTAGAAGCGCATATAATGAAAAGAAATGTTTTGTCTTTATTACGTGTGTTGGGAATCTATAGGTCAGTCTTAAAGGCGGCAAACAGCGGCTTGGTTGTTCTTCCATCATAACGATCTCTATCGTCTTCACAATAGGATCACTGCGGTTGGGTAGCTGGTATACTGCCCGGACTGACTTTGATAAGAGCGTTGTTTTGAGTTGATAGACCCCACAGCTAATGGTTCCCATCGCGCGCCTCACACGCATCACTGCGGGTTTCAGGGAAGCGAATTCGCCTCTACACTGACTCCGAGATACGAAAGGTCTATAGCTCGTCATACAAACTAAGTCAGGCACCTGCGGTTTCAAACAGAAGAATAGCCTCCCTATACGCATATTGCCTTCAAAAGGCTGAAGTTGATTGTGATTCTTCAGTGTGTCAGCTTGATATGTATGGTCGAGGCGTCATAAGCTTTAGCCACCAATCGAAGACTGGCCTCCAGTGGTGTGACTGACAAGAATTAAACTTCACCTCGGTGGCTGAACTGCAAATAGCAATTTCTGAGTGTAAAGCTAAATATGGCAGGGCCATGACTCAGGCCGCAATGCAAACAGGTATAAACAGCTGGTGTGTCCGAAGATCAAGCAGTCAGTCTGTAAGTCCACTGTTCACATTGATACCATCGAATCAAGAAACACGAAGCGCCCTGGATATCGGATAACCAACCACAACACACGACCGCCACCCGTTCCCGCGATCACTTCTATACCGGGACTACACACCCATCAAGTACTCCAGTATGGCGGAGTTTGAGAGATTCCCCGAGCTTCCTAGAGAGCTCCGAGACCATATTTGGAGCATGGCTGTCCGCGATGATCGCCCAAGAGTACATGTTTTCGGACAGTACGACGAAGCAAAACGACATAAGAGCGGCAGCCGATTTCTAAGATCCGGTGGCGTGGTAAACGGAACATGGGCTGCCCCTCCATGGAGCCGATACTTTGAGAACTTGGACAAGGACCGCAGCGACGAGAACATCTCAGCATACCTGATCGATGGCGGCCTAGAGACAGCTTGTCATGAATCGCGGCTTATCATGGAAAGGCGATTTGAACAGTCAAAGCGAAAACATGATGACGAAGACACTCGCCCAAGACGCGATAGAACAAAAGAAGTCTTCAGAAAGGCTACAACAGGCTGCTTTGACGGTACACCTCTTCATCCAGTGACAGTCTTTCCCCACCGGGACCTTTTTGTCCTTCAGTTCAATGACTTGAAAAACGTCAATTGGAGCTTACTTGGTTTAGAGGCTTCAATGGCGACTTCTGCAGAAGGTTTAAATGGGGTGAGGCATGTCGCGTTAGAGTACGACCCAAAGTGGTGGAGTGTAGCTCATCCAAGGACAACGCCTTTGTGCGTGGCTGAAGATGTTTGGGAAATCATGGAGGGTGCCTTTAAAATGTGGCCCAATGTCTGGAAATTTTGGTTTATTGACCGCTCCCTGAGAAGAAAGAAAGAAGCTTCGGCGTTCAAAGAAACGGCAGAGGATGGCTTCGAGATCAATGCCTTCTATGCCAGCGACAGAAGATTTTTGGAGATAGACCATAACAACCCACACCATCTCGAAAAGGAGTGGGAATATACCGGATGCCTGAAAGACAAGTCAAACAATGGCTTAAGTTCGTCGCTGGATTTCTTGAGAGCATTGGAGTTAGAGCTCTACGACCTGTCACTTCCCACTTCAGATAATTATTCTCAACATTACTCTGATGTTGGGCTTCTTGGGTGGGACAATAAATAAGTTACTGTTATATTCAGGAACAAATTCATGCTATGACTGGACATTCATCCAGAATTCGAAGTTAAACTTGGAATGCAACATGTTATATAGGTAGACAAGGAAGTAATTAAACTCTGCATAGTGGCTTTACGATTTGAGTCACAAGTCTCAACCGCGAATCACACAGTTAGCAATAGAAAGCTTAAGTATCTGTAGGTGGCAGATGACACAGGCTGTAAAGTATAACTGCCTTTGTCCCTATTATAAGAACTCTTGCTCTCCCCAATGTTCTGGTCAGATTCCATTTGCTAAAAAGTCTCTCGTATGCAGAAATTCTCCAAGACCAGTGAAATCGACAGTCGCCATCAACACTCCAGAGCGCAGCAACCTCCAACAGACTACCTTTACAAATCTCACTTATCATTATTTACCAACAATGGCGAATTTTCCCGATCTTCCCCGGGAGATTCGAGACATGATCTGGCCCCTCGTCCCTCGAGAAAATCATCCAGGCGTTCACATCTTCAGGCACTATGATGAGAACCAGAAATGCATGACTGAGGGCCGTTCTCTCATGCATGGCGACCTTTTCAATGGTATAATATCCGAACCGTCGCCCGACAAATACTTCGGCAGCCTGGACAAGGACTGCATGAACGAGAACGTCTCTACGTATCTCACCGACGGTGCAATGTGGAATACCTGCAAAGAGTCGCGCCTTGCCATCGAAAAGTATTTCAGCCAGTATAAGAGGTCTGCTGAGGAATGGTGGCGGTGCGAGAAAAGGGACTCTAGAGGCTGGGATGAGTATCCCGTCAACTGTGTGTTTAAGGTGCCCTCCACGGGAAAGGGATGCTTCGAGGGAGGCTGCCCACATTATTTGACCGTCTTCCCTCGCAAAGATCTGTTTGTTTTTCAACCCGATAAACTAGACGGTACGGATTGGCCTTCTTTTGCGTGGCATCTAACGAAAGGTGACACCCGGCCGGCTTTTCAGAGACCCCGGCACATTGCAGTTGAATATGATCCAGAGTGGTGGGTATCACATGGTGGAAATGCTCGAGTGGTCGCTCAGTTGCAGGAAGCTGTTTTCGCGCTAAAGAACATCGAAAAGCTATGGTTTATTGATCACAACCTCAAAAGAAAAAAGAACGCGCCAGCTTTTAAAGAAGGATGGGATCACTGGGAATCGACCAATGCATTCTACGCCAGAGACAGGAAGTTCCTCGAAATCGACTGGCGCAAGTCTGGCGCACTGGAGGACTGGGAGTATATAAAGCCAGTGGGGGACAGCTCGAATAAATTTGTTGATTCTTCGATCTGGCTTGCGCGGCAGTTGAACGACTTTATCCGTTGCAGCCAGAGCTTTCCTGGGTATCCTGAGCATGGTGTTCGGAGTCCTACGGATTACTGCGAAATCGGACTTCTCGGATGGGACGAACTTTGAACTCTTGATATGAGATAGAACCTATCCATTAGCAGCAGAATGATTAGCCTTGCCAGGCCACCGACCGCCAGTATGAAATGTAGTTAACGAGGGTCATAAAAATATTGTCGAAATAAGATTTGACAATAAAAGCATCGTCTGTCCGATTGTTGAATCCCTGTGCCAATGCGTCAATGTTTCCCATAATCTAGATTGCCAAGTAAAGAGGTTCCCTAGAAGAGAGACATTTACTAAATTACGACATCAGTATATTTTGTAGCACGTAAGAAGACGGTCATGCTGTGCGGATGGTGGTTGGAAAACAGAGCATTTTAACATTAGCTTCTAGCCTGAGTCTCGATTATGGGGACCTTGACACGTCCCAATACAATCACGGGACACAACGCCTCAGTATCATATTCTTTGGACTACCATAAGTCATATACTATTTGGTAGCCTGTGACACTATGCCTTGCCAATGGATGGGGAAACCTTACCTGTGCGTTCTGACGACGACCCTCGACCCCCTTCACCCATGAGTCAACACGCAAGCAGCAGCCCGAGTCATCCCTACCCGATCAATCAGCCACAGGAGGGGGCGGAGATTGCGTCTCTGCACTGGCTCCGGTATTGACCGGGTTCCCAGGCGGCACCACGAGGAGGTTGCAGAGTCCGACTTCGCCGCCCGCCTCCCTTCTCACTTTAATGTGGAGGGTCAGCATCTTCCCCATTCTTTGATGAATGCTAAAGGAAGCATCTTCTTCCGATCAAGAACCTTATGAAATTGATACGCTTTAGGTCGATGACGAGCCCCCGACCGAGTCCAGCTTTCAGTGCTAAAGAGACTTTTCTGGCCATTTGCAAGTTTGCATGGCACGCGTCAGGGGTCGTGGACAAGCACTGCATAATGTCAGTATTGATAACCAAGCGCAGGATGCTTCAAAAATAATGTTGTCCCACTCGCCCTCGCTTTCGGGGCTATCAGGCATCATGACACTGGCGCGCTGCATAATTGCCATTCGCCACGCCTGAGCCGTTCCTCTTTGTGGATCAAGACCCTGCAGTCGACCGTTCGATTTATCCGATTCGGTCGAGATGAATACCAATGTCGTTTCGTTCGATAGTTGGCTCATCTGCTCGTCGAGTGCCCGGCCGGTCGATCGTTAGGTTTCGGACTCTGTAAGCCGGGACTTTGCTTCGATGGCACTGGAGGCTCGTTGGGGCACTGTCCAAGTCAACCGTATCTGCTTGCTCTTGGTTGCAGTGGATGAAGTGAAGACGTTCTCACTCACCAAGGCTTGTAAGCTTGAGTTTGGCGATGGATGGGATGGTTGTGCATGAAGCAGGGATTTTTCCATGTCTGTTGGAATGATGAAGTTGTCAAGTCTGGAAGCTCGAGAGGAGGGTCAGTGAACCCGTCCATGTTTTGACCAGTTTTGAGGAAGGACCGTGACCGTGACTATGACGTGTCGCAATTCAGTGAGAGCAACCAGTGCCAACCACTATCATAATGTGGAGGAAGGACCAAGTCCATATGAGAGCCACAACAAACGATCCAGTTCTGTCTCCACGTCGAGAGGTTACATGAGGGTACCCTTAAGGATGTGTACTTGATCTTAGTTCTTTTCATAGAAAGTATTTCGCACAATTGGTCAACTCTCCTACTTCCCGAACAGTTTCAGGTGATCTGAAACCTGGCTGGGCTCAAAGCTTCATCAAAACACCTCACAAGGGAAGTTACTACGACATCTCCCTGGAAGGGTGCGTTAGAAGTGACTTCCATTCTTGGATGCTGTCCACTTCCGAATCACGCACATCTCACTTCCCCATCTCCATACGAAGCGGATAGAAGTCTCCTGGACCACCTGGACAACAATTCCACGGGGTGTAACCGGAAGGCGTCTCGTGCTCGGCAAGCTCGTCGTGTTGGTCATCCGCGTGGCATTCTTGTTGGTGCATTGCGCCCGAGAAGACAGACATGATCGTCCGACATGAGAATCGAATAACGAACGAAAACTATTTGGGATAATAAAACGTGAGTTGCTTTGATCGAGGATATCGTGGCTTCTCTCGATCTATGATCATTGAGTGTTGCAAACTTTCGAGTTGAAGCTTCACCTACAATCGAAACAAAAAGAGTGCACCAAGTTATGCTGAACTCACCTAAATATTTACATTGATCAGAATAGTTTTAGAACCAACACCACCGCGGTATCACCTCTCCCAGATGAGTTCACCTTGGTAGTATCCTTGTATTTATATTTGTCCAAGTACCGTATTCTAGTGCCTTTCTCATAAGACGTCCAAACTCAATTTTCTTGAATACGGTCCCTCCAAATTATCCCTTTGATCAGTCCAGTTGAATGGACAATAAAAGCCTCCAGCCTTCCCTGTTTTCCATATTGTGCGAGCGAAGGCAATATCACAAGATAATGAGCGCCCTCAAGCCTCAGCCATTCTAGAGGCCCTCGGGGTAGTACTATAATCCCCTTCTCCAAAAGGCGTTAATGTGTATACCCATCCTATCAGGTATACCGTTGTAGTTTGTAGTTGTTTACTGATCTCCCCACAGATTCGTCCCTCCGTTCTCGGCGTTGCGCCCCTCGACATCTTCGGAGCGAAGGGATGGGGACATCATAGGTTGGTCAACTGCCGTAACATAGTCGACAGGAGAATAGTCTGCTGTGCAAACTCGCGGGCGGAAACGACAATAGCTTTTCCCACCAGCTCGGTTACGGCAATCTGCTCGCTGACACACATGGCCATAAACACAGTTTGCTCTTCGGCAACCTCCCCCACGCGTACAAGGTACAGAACGTGAAAGATGTTCGAGCGCTGGGAGCAGTTCTTTATCAATTGGTGCATGTTCATATCCACAGTTGTCGCTCTCGCATGAACCATACAACTGTGCATTATTGCAGAATCTCTTCTCCTGTGATAGCGTCTTGAGACGTCTTGCGGCTTCGGGGTCGGGCGGAGGCAAGTAAGCGTCGAGACGGTCCTCGACTGCATTGATGGCAACACATCCATCTGGGATGTCATCTTTTCGAGGTAGAGATTCGATATTACTCTTGGTGATAGTCGAGCCACGTCGCCAATCGCCTGTCAAGTTCTTTGTGCTTGACCCGATAGTTGATGGCGAAGGTGTACTATTCTGACTGGATGCTTTACTGTCGACGTGAGAGAACTTGCAGCCGCTGCCATATCGGCAATTTCCTTGCGCATAAAAGCTGCAGACCGAGTTCTCATCATTCGTGTTTCTTTTGATCGTAGAATTTGTGTATGGTACGCTGACCACTTTGCTCATATTGTTGGACGACGCAAGAGACGTCTTTGTTTGCGCAGTAGAATAAGCGTATGTGAGTGGCACATGGCGGAATACGCCAGGGAGTTCTTCAACATTCATACCAAGTCTGTCAAACTCCTTATGAAACAACACACTCGGCGTTCGAATAAGCGTGAATCTTTCACGATTACCCCTAAAGGGGATAAGGTCGGATACGTAGCCCACATCATGGCAGGCCGCGAAGTAAATATGCTTGCACTGGGCGTTGTCGGCGTAGAGGCGGAGAATGGCTTTGACTTTAAAGTCGGCGTTTTCTTTTAATTCGCCCGCGTCGATAAAATCAGCGAGACCGTAAGATCGGTTGAACCCAGCTGTGAAGGATGAGAATGAGCGTTTCTCTGCTCCGGCGAGGCCGTTTTTGCAGAGGGCTTTTGATAGGCCTGTGAGGTTGGCGTAGACGCGGACCATGACCTCGCAGGATTCGAGACCTTTGCGGCGTAGACTATCTTTGATAGTATCGTTGAGTTGTTTGGCGGCTCTGCTCCCGCCTTCTTCACCGTCTTTGACGAAGCGTTCGTCAAAGATGTAACCATCTCCGTCGACGACTACGAGAGCAAAGGGATTACGCTCTTGACCTCTTGCGAGCTGCTTGTAGCGCTCTCTGCCCTCACGCTCCTCTTCATAATCACTTTTGAGACGCTTATAGTCTTCGATCAGAACAGCGTATTGGTCGAGAATGTCGTTGAGGGCATTGTTATTTCGGAACTCGGCAAGCTTCTCAGCTGCACGGTCGATTGTCGCATCAGGAAGCATTGTCGGCGGATGAGGACGACATGCCCTGCATTGCCGAAGATTCCGGGGAGACTTGTGAGTGAGATATGAGGTGAAAGAGGAGAGGATATGCTGTCGCTTATGGTGAGTGCGGGCACAAAAGAATGCCTGTCAATTTTAAAGCGGTAGATGAGATTGCGGTTGCGGAGTCATGTGATATGCCACGTGTATTACTCTTCAGGCGTCAACGGCGGGAACCCAATCTTGCTCGACGTTGCAAGAAGGCGAAAGAAGGGCGGCCACGTAGGAATGGTTTCACTTGGTTTTGTTGTTTGTTTTTCTGTGTGCAAAGTCACTTTATTGGAGACATCACTGTTTGCATTCGTGAATTTGGTCAAACATCGTATGTTTGAGGCCGTGCGTTGTACCGCCCCACTAACGGCTTTGAAACAGCTTCCAATGCCATGAGCCTTACACAGAAAATCAGGTAATGCATGTGTTTCTTCGCATTCACAAAAATGCTACGATGTTTCGGCTGTTCCACCTAAATACACTGCCTCTTGTGTCTTTATAACCATTCCTGTCTCGTCTCGTGCCATGTTGGGGTACCCAGGCCCTGGACTTATGCAATAGCCTAACATTGCGTATTCTGTAAGCATCTAGCTTCTTCCATGTGTCAACAAACGCGATAATGAACATATCGTACCAAACAAGTCAATCTCTGGTCTACACCGTCGTTCACTCTACCGTTTGTCCCTCCTTCCATCCCTCGCAGAAAGAATAATCCGTGTATCCATCCGTGCTCTTTACTTTGTAGAAAGTATCCCTCTGATACGGCGCCAGGGGAATGTTCCTCGCGAGCCTGAGCGGCAAATCCGGATTGGATATGAAGTGCCTTCCAAACGCAAACGCAACAGGCCGGTCTTTGAAAGTTGTTTCCAGGGCTTTGTTTGCCTTTTCCGCT